GTAAACTCATACCTCAGGATTTCAACTCGCAGCCTAATAACGGTAAGTCGCACATTAAAGCATGAATGCATTCATTAATACCCCCCCCCTCCCCCTTTGGACGAGAAGGACTCATAAGTGACGTCATCACATCTACCACTTTATTTAAGGAACGAAAGAGTAGGATTTCTCCACAAATCTGGCTGTCGCCTGATGAAGCTAGTTGTAATTACTGGCAAAGCGTCGTACTCAGATTGTAAATGTTGTGCATTTGCTCTCCAACACACCGGTGGGCTGTACTAGTAATGAACTGGCATGTTGTTGTTTACGTGACAAACCTTACTAATTGGCTGTGTCGGGTGGTGGCGGATCTAACGACACATTTATATTTACTTGATCTAACCCAAAAAACCTATATTACGGATGATATTGGTCGCGAAAGCCTACATTAAACTAACACACTACGCACCAATATGAATTCTTGCACTTTGTGGTATTTGTTAGAATGCTCAATTAAGACGCATTCCTTGGATACAAACTGCTGCAGTCTAAAATTGCAGCATCATTTATTTGATTTTCCCATGCATTGCCCCATCCTGGATCTCAAGAGTCTCTGAGGAACCGGCTCACGACCGTAACATGGACATTAGCCCTCGCAGCCATCAGATACATCTGCCCAGCTTGTTGCTAATGGGAACAGATGGAAATCCAAAATAAGGGCAACGGTGGCAATTCCTTCTTGAACGCGCTGAAGTTAATGGCACTGCAACTAAAACCATCTGCATGGTTAGAGATGATTAGAATTGTGCACGGATGTATGCTGGTAATAGGCCAACACTGTTGTTTATACCTGGGAGTAAAAGAAAAACATAACGGAGAGGCTGTGCAGGCTCTGCGTATTTACTACCAAATACCTCCTAATGGAAAGCCGTTCATGTGCCATCACTTAAAATTTGCCATTGCTTTTAAGGCACCCATTTGTAAAGAGTGGCCTCCAAATAAAAGCTATTCAAGCACGCCGCTCCCTCGCTGATGAAGGGCCGATGGCGGGCCAGCATTTTAATGCCTAAGTTGCTACGCTACAAGGCAGTGTGTCATTATTCATTTGCCGCACCTTTTTGGGGGCAAGGGCCTTGTCTTATTTGGGGGGGGCCCTTGTCTTTTATATGCTCGTGGAATATATTTTTTCGTTTTCATTAAACATAGTCGGCCGTAAAAGCCAGATAGGTAAAAGGCTCCGAGGTTTAAAAAAAAAAAAATTTGATTGCACCCCCGCTATAAGGCGTACCAAAGCTCAGCCCGGTAGCTACTTAACAGTGTTGGGAATTTCTTGGCACATAGAAAACAACCAGAGGCCGCAGGTTGATGCCACGTGTTGGATAGCTCAGGAGCGAGGTCAGGAGGTGATTGTGTTTTTCTGTCGCAAAGAGTGGTGGTGGGTGTCTGAAACCCGTTGTCTACAAAGCGCTGTAGAAGCTGATTCACCGAGACTCTACAAGAAAAAAGGTGCCATGGTGGCTAGATGTTGACTCCCTCGCCTGGTATACAGAAGGTCGTGGGTTTGATCGCGACTGTCACGCCTGCTGTATATTTGGATTTTGCATGTTCTCCCCGTGGCCGCGTTGATTTTTCTCCAGGTCCTCCGGTTTTTCCCTCCACATTTAGAAACATGTGTTTCGAGTATTTGCCTGCTCTAAATGTCCACGCGATAAGCCGCTTCATTGAGCTATCATCTATGGCCAGATCCCTTCCAAAAAAGAGCTGCATAGCTCAGTGGGCCTTGCCTGGAAAATAAAAAATAGTTTTAGTTTAAGTAGACGCGCCTCGAAGACACTCCCGAGCCGACTTGCCACTCACAACCGAGCGCGCTGGATGCACCGAACGACCCACTCCCAGAGGTCGCAACCGGGTACCCGATACCCGTACCCTACCCGATACCCGGCTACCCGTACCCAGCCGGGTACGGGTACCCGTTTGCGACCCTGGTGCGGCCAGGTATGGGTACGGGTAGACCGTGAGTCACTGGTGAGTCACCGTTTGTCACTCATTTCCCAACGTCTTGTCTCTTTTCACAATTCAAGTTCCTAGAATCAACCCACCCGTGCCTGCAACATGGCTTCATCCCAGAGGTCGCAATCGGGTACTCGATACCCGTACCCTACCCGTACCCGGCCGGGTATGGGTAGGGTACGGGTACGGCCGGGTACGGGTATGGGTAAGGAATCAAATCCCGTATGCGACCTCTGCCCAGTCCTCTCGCTTGTAAACACCTCTTGCTTGTTCTCGCGCTCCTATGGCTTCCGAATGCAAAAGTCAAGCGTTCTCAATAGAAGTGCTCACCGGCTAAGATAAATTGTACTTCGTAAAATAAAATTGTCTCATTACTATAAAACACCTCGAGTCATACAGATCTCGACAAAGGACACAGCATAATAGGCATTCAACAACAAATAAATACGAGCAACTGTTCTGTATTATTAGTTTTGATGAAGCCAAAATGAATGGGGCACACCAGCCTTTACAGTTCCCTTGGACCACACTTAGCACTGCATAGAACACAATGTTCGTGATCACAACCAGGAAGAAAAAAACCACTCCTTCATGAAACAAACTCATTCATGAAGACAAAGGTATGGATATAGGAACCATGCCCTTGACTAAAACATTGTGATTCAGCCCACCAACAGACACTGGATGTCCTCCCAGAGTCAACGTTTTGTTCGAAGACTGGACATCTGTGGAAAAAAGTTTCACGGCTCATCGGATTTCTCCAGTCTAAATAAAGAGTCTGATTCTAAAAAGGATTCTGCAGATAACTTATTTAAAGGAACGTTGTGATTCAGGGTATTGAAGCACCAGTACAGCAGGTTTTCCCAACCTCACGTGTGAGCGACCCACCACCACGCTCCGTCTATCTACGTTCACCAACTTACTCCCCATTCAAATACAAATTAACTAGTTCTACGCTGCACGCGCCCAACCATTGTTAAACAGTCCCATGTGAACCACTAAGGAATTAACTGCGTCAAGTGGACTGTTTTCGTGCGTACTACGTTCACACACACAAACACTAAGAACTAAAACTTAACGAATCGGCTGTATTAAAAAGGCAACGGTAACTAAACTAAACATTTTTTTGTTTATTTTACCAGGTAAGGCCCACTGAGCTATGTAGCTCTTTTTCAGAAGCGACCTGGCCATCACAAATGATAGCTCAACGAAGTTGCTTACGGTGTGGAAATCTATAGCGGCCAAATATTTAAACAATGCATGTTGATTCTAAATGTGGAAGGGAAAACCGGAGGAGCCTGGAGAAGAATCCACACAACCTACGGGGAGAGAGACACGCAAACTCCAAATATGCTGATGTCAGGATCGGGATCGAACCCACGACTTCCTGCATACCAGGCGAGGGAGCTAACATCTCGTCACCCGCAGGTGCATCACGTGTTTAACAATCATCAGGCGTGATGCAGCGTCGACAGAGTTCATTTGTATTTGAATGGGAGTAGTAAATAGGTAAACGCGGACATATGGAGCGTGCTGGTGGAGGGGTCGCAAGGAGTGAAGTTTTGGAAACCCTGTGGAGTATCTAACAATCTGGCACTGCGGCACTGTGGTTAGGGGCACTAAAGGTCATGCAGTAAAGTGCAATTCGCAATTACAAAAGGAGTTAATTACGGTCAAATTATTTGGTGATGCTGTGGTGGCAGTGGTGTACAAGCACAATTTAAAACAAAAAATGAACATTCGACAAGGACACTGCTTTAACAGGAAACCGTATATCATAGGCAATGTTTACGAGCAATGGACCTTCTTCACATGAATCAAACAAAGGCGGCGATACATTTTTTGTTACTCATAGTCACGTACCACGTCGGGCTATCCATCATTTGAGGGTTCATAAAATAAGTACCACTTTGTGAGAAGTCAGCAGTGGTTGCCCCGAGGATATCCTGGGCTCCGTCATGGGAATGTAGAATTTCCACAAAAGGCTCAGGGCAATCAACCGTCGCTTGTTCGAATATGAACACTAGCTCATTCTGGTAGCTCATTCTACTGGTGTTCTTGAGCCAGCGATGCAAACTTCACATTGCCTTGACCTTAGTTCTTCATTATTCTGTAGAGCACAACTGGGAAAATCTAAATGTCACCAGAACTTCTGGTCTTCAGCCGGCTAAGCCAAGTCATCCCGTGATTTTCCGGAGAAATATTCCTCTTTAACATTTTATTTTCTCTACGTCCGAGTTCACTGCCTGCCTTGCAAACGCGGTTCTTGTCTCTATGACATATATGTCCTAACCATCATAGGACAACGACATGACAGAATTTTGAAAACGATGCACTGGCTTCCCGCAAAGTGGAACTCAATTAATCAACAGTGGAGGGGATATCACGCATATTCCACTCATTGACCAATACAGACTCAAAGTAAATAATGCAAATCAGGTTACTAAACAATGATGGGTAAGGAAAGAGATCTCACCAAGAAGATGTTTTCTCCAGGCTGCAGGATTTTCACATCCGGGTGTTTCGACAACCAATCATGAGACCTTTAAATCCCTGTTGGTCTACGTGGCATGTGCAGCGTTGGGCCATGTTAACTGTAGTATACTGGCGTGTGCGTGGACCAGCAGGAATCAACATCTCTCTGGATTGCCTTGGTGAGATCTTTCCTTCCGTATGTATGCATGTATGTATGCTGAAATGCTTTCTCGCTGCAAATAGCCAACCATTCTAATGGGAGGTGCGAGAGGGAAGGACAACTAACTAAAGAAATGAGTTTTCAATTTAGATTGCAAAGCGAAAAGCTTCAGTGGATTTCTAATATCGGAAGGAAGAGCGTTCCAGACGGCCGCAGAAGCGCATCTGAAAGCGCCGCGCGATGCGGTGACCGTCTTTGTTCGATATCCTCGATGTAGAGCGAGGATATCGACATCGCCCGGCTCTCAAACACGTCTGGCCACCCTTCTCGTGCGCCGACGAGACGAAGGACCTCTGGTGCGTGTTGGGCTCCTCACCGGCTGGAGGTAGAGGAGGGCCAAGTTGATGGGGTTGGGAAGGGTCACGTTCAGCAGCAGGAACCCAGTTGAAAAGCCCAGGGAGTGCATCGCTCGATCCAGGCTTGCGCACAAAACACACGGGAGCCATCGATTACAGAAACGCCACGTGAAATGTATTTTATCAGTCTGACGTGAATGGATCTGATACCGCAATTCTTCAATGTGATAAAACTGTGTTTGTTTAAAAAAAAAAATCTATTCTGTATCAAAAATAGCAAACCTTACAGAAACAGTTTGGCCAGATATTGCAAACAGAACTTCACAGACCAGCCTCATATCTCCCAAATATTATTAAAGGCCGTGCAAATGTTTACATAAGTCTTACAACATGCACACAGGAAGCCTATATGCAGTAGCCCTGGGTGAGATTCCCTCCACAAACCTGTACTGACCCGCGTGGTGAAGTATAGTCCAAACAACTTCCTTAACTGACACGGTTATTGAGAGGCCTTCATCCAGCAGTTTATTCACAAAAGAGCCATTCAATATTATTAAGTTTTGTTACGTACAGATGTTAGTTCAAATCACAGAAAAGTGTCTCACTGCTCATGTCTGTTGGCAGCCGTGGGCCAACAGAGTAAATTCCACAGTCTCATGGTGTGTGCCAGAACATTCATGTGATTAACACAATTGACTTAATACAAAATTGCATTCCTTTTATCAATTACATTATATATGCGTTTATTTATATACATGTAATGTGCTGCTTTAGATGATAGTGGTTTTTGGTACTGCAACTAATAATGCTGCGGGCAGAAGACACCATTTTAAAAGCATACGCAGTATACCAAGGGGACAGTTCAATTGTCACACATTTGTAAGCACCTGGGAGTCAAACCCGAGGTCACACTGAAGGTCACAGCAGCTCCCAAAGACACCCAGTCACGCTCCCACAAGGACACTTTCCTGCTGACGGTTGATACCCGTTCTGATACGACACACACTCGCGTCCACCGACGTATTCCGACGGTCTCCCCTGGAACCACATGCTATTTAGTAAACGGCCGACTATGTGCGCAGTTGGCTGCGCGGCGAAGCCCGAGCGGGGTTAAATTATAACGGGGACTTCGTATTTGCTTCGACGTCAAACAAAAAAAAGAGACACATGTAACGTGTTCACAGGCACGCCGCTCCATACCGCGGGTGGACTTGTGCTGGGAGATATTTTTATGAGGCGAGTCTTTCGAAAAGCGGTATGAGGTATTGCCACCAAAAACAGTTCGTCGCAGCTTACCTTGACAGGAACAAAGTCACGATGATGAGGAGGGCGACAAGGGAAAGCGCAACTCCCAGGACGATCTAAACAAAGAAGGCGGAGGGAAAAAAATAACAATTAGCGAGCGCCGCATCAGGCCGAGCAGATAAGTGAAAAGGAGGCCAAATGTGTCTCAGAGAGGCACCGATTTCCTTTAATGACATTTTGTTTCACAGAGACTCGAGGTGGCGTCAAAAAGGAATCGAGAGCCGGAGCGTCTTGGCCGCTCAAACGAGCGATGAGGCAAGTGTGAAGCAATACCATTGGTGCCAAGCCAACCGTGGAAATGTCACGTTGCCATGGCAAGAGCCGGTCGCTTCGTGTGACAATCGTTGGTGCCGTTAACGTGAATGTTGGGTTAAGTGAAGATGACGATTGTCGACAAGCCCAATATTAAGCTGAACAATGTTCATTATAATCTTGTTCATAAGCATTTTGAATGGCTTTTCCTGGAGGCATTCATGAGTAAGATAGTTTTATAAGGTCTGAAAATGTAATAATCCCTCCCTCCCCCTCCCTCAAGATCTGTAGTCCTCTATATATTCAGGTGCTATTGACCAACTAATGAGTGTTTATATGTGAGAGGAAACCAGAGTACCCAGAGAAACCCACACATGCGGTGGGACAACACTCTATTCCATTATTCCATACAGATGGGAAAAATGCAGTGCACATTTTTGCTGAACCACCTACTCTTGGAGAGCAAGGATATGGCTCCTCTTCAATGCCCACGGGAAGGGATTTTCACAACGTTTGTGTGATCCGTCAACCCTCGCTTTAACAGTGCAGTATATAATGCTGGCTTGTCTGAGCCAATGTTGATGCCTCTAGTCCTTTTAAACTGCAATCTTCTTATTCTCACACACCGTTTAATTTGATTACTCCACTGCCTTTTTGGATATCACTGGGTGTATGTTCCATGTCTTAGCTACGATGAAAAAAATGGCCGTGCGTGATAAGGATTTCTAGATAAACAAAATGGCTGAAACGTCTGCAACTTTGTTCTGTTGCTGTTACTAAATAGCTGCGTTTAAATTACTAATTAGCGATGCTCAGCTAATTGCACCAGTTGTTTTTCCCAGCTGATAAGATGCTGAATGGTAACAAAAAGGGATCTTTAAACTTCTCCTGGAACCAGATAAATATTAATTGTTTTAAATGCACTTTTACACAGAAAGGCAATTTGAGATGCATAAAAGCTGTTTATTATGCAAACTGAAGTCATATCAAAATTATTTTTTATAAAACTGCTTTGTATATTTAATTAGGGTGCCAACCAGGGCAAAGACTATGCATGAATAATCTTTGCAAGAGACACATTTCTGCATAAGGGATGCAAAACACCCGCAGATAATAGAGCACAACTACATTTGCTGCGATAGCGATCACATAATAATTCATTAAAATTAGTTGAAGGTACAAAGACGACAACGATATCTTCGTGCAAGTTAACCTGACGCTGCTCTAACTTCTGCTCGTCACATCACGTGACCAATAGCACACAAGCACGATCGTCTCTGATCACGGATTGCAAATGAACTAACCTTTCATTAACGTGTATATTTTAACTCCTCGGCTCCCAAAGGGAGAATGCTGAATCCTAAGTGAATACAACAATGCGTGATCATAATCCAGCGATAAGAGACAGGGTTGGTGGCACAGACAGAGATGGAACTGCCTGTGTGTGGACACCCACGCGCTGCAGGGCAATGAGGTGTGTTGTGTTTAAGGCAGTTCAGAAATAGGTTTTGGGTCTATCCCTGTGGAGGGGTAGGGTTTTGCTAGGACGAAATTTTAAATGGCACATGAATAGTTGCCTCATAGTAAATACTGAGTAACAGAGAACCCCCTTAATTTATCCAAAATGCAGTACTACGTGAACTAATTTGTATTCAAATTATGAAATGTTGCTGGCAGATTGCATTTTGGATAACCCATAATTAAATTGGCCATAAAATAAATCAACACATTCGTCAATAAAATAAAAAAAATATCATCGGCAATGTTTTGGGCAAAGGGCCTTCAAAGTAAACAATACTTTTTTCCACAAGTCCATAGAACAACCAAATAACCCTGCAGTGAGTGTCGGGATGGGTCTGTGACACAGAGAGACACACAGACTATTTTTTTTTTTATTTTACCAGGTAAGGCCCACTGAGCTATACAGCTTTTTTTTCAGAAGCAACCTCGCCACAAATGATATCTCAATTAAGTGGCTTATGATGTGGAAATTTATTTCAGCCAAATACTCTAAATGCATGTTTCTAAATGTAGAGGGGAAAACCGGAGGACCCAGAGAAACATCCACACGACCACAGGGAGAATATGCAAACTCCAAATATACAGGCGTCAGGGCCAGGATCGAATCCACAACCTCCTGTATATCAGGCGAGGTTGTTAACATCTCGTCACCGAGGCTTAACAAACTAAGTCTCCATCAACGGGAGAATCTAAAAACAAACAAAATCACGTAAAAATGTTGTTACAAAACTAAATAGACAAAAACAAGCACAATATATTTTTGTAGAATAATAACAATTTAAATGAAATTGAGTTGTGGACGGCGTGATGTTAATGATGAACACGAATGTGAGCACGTGGAAGCGTGTGTGGACGTTTGTAAAGTGAGGCCAGCACAGTGCCTCCATTTAGCTCGGGGACGTTCAAGCGTGTTTAGGAGGTCCGGTGGATCGGCTCTGGCTCCTGCCACCATGAGCGATGGAAAGTCCTCTACTCGGGGCAGGAGACTGCCAAACAACAGAGAGTGGCTCTTCTTCTGAACAACAAAATGACGGGGGTGTGGGAGCGTGGCGGTGAGGTGTGGGAAGTGGTAAGCCCCAGACTTACTTTGGGCTTGCCTTCTCATCAGCCTTTATAAAACACCAACTATCGAGGACCCACGTATGCCGATGCAAGGCACCGATTTGCAAGCGATTGCTGGACTGGATGTGACTGTGAATGTTTGGCTGGGCAAGGAAATTTCAATGGAAAAGTTTGACCATAAAGACCTGGACATGAGATCCCATTGCTTGATGTAAACACCTTGCAAATCGTCCGAGAGACTTACGCTCAGAAGGATCATTCTCTGCAATTCACGGGCATTTTTTTAAACATACATATTTAAGTATGGATGAATAAGACAAAGGAGTAAATTGGCTGACCTCAAAGCCAATACTGCAGTAAGTCGTAGCTTATTCTTGTGAATAAATGAACTATAAATGTCATGGCCTTTCAAGACACAGCTCTTGTGCTTTCAGATATAATCATTGGCCCTTTTTTCAATATCAACATGAATAAGCACATGCATGTGTAGCTGCATGCATGTGTGTTGCATGCATGCGATGAATTAATGGGGGTTATGCAAGCGAGGTGAACGAGTCTTCGCAATGGAACAAAAACGTATAGAGAAAAAATTGATGCAACATCATCAGTAATCAACTTTATTATAAAAAGAGACCATTGAGAAAATGTTTCCTTTCAAATGGATTTCTCAAATACATAGTCACCTTTCATGTAATGATTCTGTTATGTGCGTAGACTAATGAGATCATGTTTCATAACAAGCTCATCATTAATCAGAATTATTAGAATGCATGCTCTTAAACATTTTCTTTTTAAAACATCCTGTATGAGGCATTCATCAAGAAGATGTTTAAAAAAATAAATCCTATTACCACTAACCCTTTCCCGTTTCGAGATGTCTGCAAGTTGCAGTGTGGATCCCATTCACCGCTGAATCTTGAAACGCGCAAGCGGTTGAGCGTGACATTTATTGAGAGGCATAGCACCGTTGTTTTTAGTGACATTATAATTACTGCAGGGAACCGTAGCAACAAGACCGCACTCTACGATAGCTGGCACCAAACTGTGCCACACGCCTTCCTGCAAGGCTTTGTGGGAGCATCAGTACCGATAATCAATCAATTTCTGGATGAAGGCTTCCCCAACCAGTGTGGGGTCAAGCCCGTTGTTTAACCATACTTCACCACACGGATAAGCGTAAGTTTGTGAAGCGGAGTGACCAGGATGGGTTCAGATTATCCCCTTGCCACTGATGTTAGGCCATAGCTGGGAATCAAGGTCAATTTGGCGGGTTCATAAACCAGTGTGCTATCCACTGCAAACTGCTCCACCTTCAAACAGTGATTTACGATGCAATAATAATTTATCTAAATGAAAGCAAATACAATACTTGTATTAATTACATTACTTTATATCAACATGGCCAGCTTCATTTGGAGTGTGGCTTTCTTGCAGACATTAACCGTTTGAGCATTCGTGTATGTATATTGTACTTCTTTCGCAAAGTACACAGCCGACCGTGATCATCGGATGTGCGAAATGTGAATGCTTCTGCACTAGAGTGTGGATGCTGAGGCACAACAACAGCAACAACCGCCATTTTCCACAAAGTGGCGGTGACATAACCATGGCGCTTGTGCCAGAAAGTCACCAAGGACAATTATCTCAGCACCAGGATGGTTTTGGTCTCAACCAGGGGTCAGCATCGAAAATAACAAGAAGAGCCATTTTCTTTGAATTCGGTAAAAAAAAAAACTCACAAATTCAAGAGCCGCAATAGATGTGAATACGGGACGGTCCTTAATGAATAAAGTCACAAAGCAGTCCTGAAAGAGCCGCAGGGGTTGGCTCTGGTCGGCTCTGGAGGCGACCCCGGCCGCTGGTCGATGCGTTCAATGGTAACAGTAAATTTCGATTTAAAGCTTTCGTGACTGCAGGGATTCATCTTCTTGGTTCTTTCGGTAAAGTCACGTAGAAGGGAAATAATAAAATAATAAAAATAAAGCAATAAAATTTTACTTTACCGAAAGAACCAAGAAGATGGTAGCAGTAAGTTGAGAGCGAGTTCACCGCATCTGATTCACACCTCAGATTCAGAGCCGATTCAGCACGTCCACAAGCGATTCCCCAAAGCAGCACCAACCAATCAGTGGGACGGCATTCGCGTTGTGACGTCATCATGCTCCGCTGTCTGTGAAGGACTCATCAAAGGTGGGCTAGGGCACATGCATTTGGGCTGAGG